ATTGGGGGATGATGCAAAGGATTGGCTCTATTTCTACCATTGGGGACAGTCACAACATAGAACGAGATGAAAAGGCTGTTCTTAGAAAGATATTTCCCAGCATTCAGAGCTGCCACCATCAGGAAAGAGATATGTGGTATAAGGCAATATAATGGAGAGACATTGTATGACTATTGGAGCGATTCAAGAAGCTATGTGCAAGCTGTCCTCACCACCAAATAAGTGATCAATTGTTAATTCAATATCTCTATGAAGGATTGCTACCTATGGAAAGAAACATGATAGATGCAGCAAGTGGAGGTGCGTTGGTGGATAAAACTCCTGAAGCTGCCAAACAGTTAATCTCAAACATGGCTGCCAATTCCCAACAGTTTAGTACAAGACATGATGCACCACCCAAAAGGGTGAATGAGGTAAGTACATCTTCCATTGAACAACAACTATCTGATCTTACCTCTTTTGTTAGACAGTTGGCTGTAGGGAATACACAACAGGTAAAAGTTTGTGGGATATGTTCAACAATGGGACACCAAACGGACATGTGCCTAACACTTCAAGAGGAAGGGGCTGAGTAGGTTAATGCAGCAGGAAACTTTCCTGGACAACCGAGGCAGTATGATCCTTACTCCAACACGTACAATCTAGGTTGGAGGGATCATCCGAATTTCAGTTATGGAGGAAATAGACAAGTAGGAGGTGGACAAAATTTCTTCCAGAATAGACAACAACAACAAGGTTTTCAACTGAAGCAACCTGCCTCACAGAGTTCAAACTCATCCTAGGGAGATATAGTTAAGTCCCTTGCTTTGAATACCAAACAGTTTCAACAAGATACAAGATCTAGTATTCAAAGTTTGGAGAATCAAATGGGTCAAAAGAAAAATGCTATAAGTCGTTTAGAGGCTCAAGTTGGAGGGAAGTTGCCTTCTCAAACAGTGGTGAATCCAAAGGAAAATGTGAATGCAGTGACGCTAAGAAGTGGCAAGAAAGTGGAAGAACCAAAGCTGAACATTCCAAGTGTAGCAAAGGAAGCAAAAATTGAAGATGAAATTGAGAAAGAAGAGGCTACAACTGAATCAAAGGTAATTCCTAACCCTTCAATTCAACTTCAGTCTAATACTTTACCTTTTCCTAGCAGATTCGCGAAGTCAAAGAAAGAAGAGAAGGATAAAGAAATTTTGGAGATGTTTTGCAAGGTGGAAGTGAATATACCTCTGTTGGATGCAATTAAGCAAGTGCCAAGGTATGCAAAATTTCGGTCTGGATGATGACGTTCTCAGCTTCCAATGCTGCCACTTTGTCTGAGTGTTGTTGCATAAGAGTAGTTAGAGCTTCGAGCTTGGCCTCGAGACCAGGATTGGTGTTGTTTGAATTTTCAGCCATGGAGAGTTTCCTTGCGAAGCAGGGTTTGAAGGATGAATGATTACTGGAGGCCCCACAATGAGCGTCAAACTGTAGACGGTAAAATCTACGATTACGGAATAGGGGGTATGATCTTGTGAGGTTGCGGCTACCAGCAATCTGTTGTACCTACACACACAAGAAAACAAACGTGAAGCGAACAGAGAACACCAAGGTGGTGTGTGCCGTAGGCACTCTGATGCTCAAGTCAGCAAGGCTGAATGAGGCTAATTTAGTGACGGTTAGGGAAAGAGAAGGTTACCAAAAGACTAGTTGGAGACTATAACTACGCCTGCAATATAAAGCTCTTGAGAGTGGGAACTATGGGGTTAGAATGTGTAATGTCCCTCCCCTGTGAGAGGGCTAGCCTCTATTTAAATAGCAGTTGTAGGATATTCGAATCCTAGTAGGACTGTGAGTCCTTTGGAGGTTAAGGTTTAGTGAATAGGAAGGCCTTGGATTCCCTTACCTTAGTAGGAGAGGGAGTCCTAGTTGGTCTAAGATACGGATCTTAGACGAATTAGGATAGTAATGGATCTCTTCGGTAGAATCCGAATAATACCGAAATAAGAAGTAGGCAGTCTTGGGGTCTAAGTAAACCCTAGGTTCAATAGGTGATCTTGGATCAAAGGGCATGGGCCCATACAAGCTGATGATGAGGCCCAAACGAATCGAGGCCTTTGTTGATTGGGTTCAAGTAGTGAGCAACAGGGTAGGTGTACTGAGCGGACATAATATGCAAACTCTATTGCAAGCTCAATCGAAATTGGGCCATGGCTCCGAACTTTGTTGAAGGTGTCTTCGTCTTTGGGCCTATTGGGGCCAATGACATTTTTTGGCCTAACAATTATTATTTGTTTATAGATAAGTTAAGGATTATTTTGTAAAATATAAAAAATAAGATGTTACATTAAATGATTGAAAGAAATGAAGAAGGAATGGAGTCACATATAAATTTAAATATATTGGTCCAGTGTAGCCATTATGGGTCCCTTTCCCTTCTACCTTATCTTCTACATCACTGTCTGGTATAATTGCTCTTCTCTTGATTCTATAATTTCCAATAATATCGAATGATATTTTCCATATATTATATATTACGGTGGGCTCCTTGCATAAAATGAAGCTTCATGCAAAATCTCCATAATAGTAAAAAGTTGTGCACTTTCAGACATCACCAGGCTTTGATAAAGAGCATTTTTAATATCTATAGTGGAGGACATATTCATCATAGTATCCCAAACTTATTTAGAAAATAATACATGTTATTTATGTATTTCTAAATTAAGAATAAACGATATCTGAACATAATCATCTGACGGACCTACCTTTCTGCCTACTGTAAATTCAATTTTTCAATAAGTTTAAAATTAAACATTCGGGACCCATTTACTCATCTTTTTCCTGTCAATGGCATACCATTTATTTGACGATTCATTGTTTAAAGTGTTGTACAAATTTATGTACGAATTTTTTGGTTGATTTTTTGTCATTGTTAAAGTCGAAACGTTATAGGAGCTTAAAAATAAAATAAAAAAAGCTTATTATAAGTATTTTTGAAAAAAAATTTAATTGTTTGGTTGTATTTCAAAAGCATTTATAGAATTTTAAATAAGTTAGTTTACGATTTATGATATAAGTTCTTTTAAAGTGTTAAAAGTTATAATATCCTCTTCTATTATATAAATTTAATTTGATTTATTCTTATATATTAATGTTTTTTTTTTTTTAAATAATACTAGAAAAATCTTTTATGTTTTCTTAACCAAATAACAAACAAATCTTATATAAAAGTTTTATTTTCATAAATTTAACTCTTCAAAAAAAATTATTTTCATAAATTCTACTCTATTAAGCTATTCTTCCATAAATTTTATTGGAATAAACTGTACCAAATGCATCCTAAATACTGTTGTTTATTAATCAATTTTATGATTAATGATAAAGGTGATTTTTTGATAGAAATAGGTTTCTGTATACATTAAAAAACTAAAGTTGAGAAAATTTTGTTGGAAAATGTAACCAGGTTTGTCATCCATCTTGTTACCATGAATAAATCATATGATAATGTGATTAAATCAATCAAATCAGAATTAAATGAACTCATATAAGAAAATTATTAAAGTTGAAAGAAATAAATTAGGAAACTTTTCAACGCTCCAACATCAAGTTGACCCACTAAGACATGATTTGAAATGCTCTACTCAAAATGCGGGACATGTTATTTTATGATTAATTGGATTCATTTGGAATTTTGGAATATTAAACTCATCAATTTACCAACATTAATTATCGAATTCATATCATTGATAAACTATAAGATAAATTTGTAGACAAAAACGAAACCCAATTTAAGATTTAAAATTCCACTTCTAAAGTGACATTTTAGTAAAAATAAAAGTATTTTTTATTCATTAGTGTATGAAATATTTAGATAGAATTAAAAGATTATCATTTCTTCGTATCAGTTTGTATGTATTTTAACTAATCTTAGAAGTCTATTGAACACTTTACAAGTCTAATGTTTTAAAAAAAACCACAAATGTGATAGATGACTCCAAATTATTCGAATTCATAAAGTCAATAAAAAAAGTAAACATTTTTAACTACCAGGTCAACCTCCTGGGGTTAGGTGGATAACTTTTTTAGTCTAAATTTTTTTTTTTTTTTTTTTTTTATAATCAATTGTTCCCACAATTTTGGATCCCAATATTCTAGAGAAGTAATAAAAATTAATTACAAAAACCTATTTAGATTTATACAGGTGTGTATATGTATAGGAAATTTGGAAGAAGGTAACTGAATCAAATCCTCATGGATTTTTGACTCAATATACACAAACGATTGAATATGAACTAATATTTACCATAAAATCTATCATTTTCTTTTGAAAATTACAAGTGAAGAAACTTTTTTAAATCTTAACAATACAATCAACCTCAAAATCTTGCCATATCAACCACATCAATTCCCATCATTGAAGAAGAAAAGTTCTATTAAAATAATTGTGTAGTTAACATTTATCTTCATCCATTAACTTTAAGCTTTGAAAAGTTATTCAAATAATTAAAATATTTTTCAATTAAATTAATAAATTTATTGAATTAGTTTAGAGAAATTATATTAAATAACCTTTTTTTTTTTTTTTTGGTGAGTTAGAAATAAGTCATTCGTAAAAGTCTCTAAAAAAATAAGCTTATTTCAAAATTTCAAAAACCGGTTAGGCCAAACTACTCTTTCTTAACTCAAAACCCAGAGTGATTGATATCGATCCACTATAGAAATTGAGAGTTTGCTTTATTTTAAGACCGTATCTATATTAGTTTTTATTAGTGATCAATTAATTATAGGTTTTATCAGTTTCTATCGGTGGACATTGGTTAAAAGAGGTGTTTTGATCCAATGCATGCTAACATTTTGGAATTGAACTATTTTCTGAAATACTTTTAGGAACAGGATAATTTCTCAATTAAATCCCAAAAATGAGTTATTTATTATAATTTCCCGGTTTATGGGTGGGTGGCCTTTTAGTAATTATGTCCCATATCTATCTAACAAAAACCAGAAGGGCCTGGTACAGTGGTACGTGAGTAAAAATTTCTTATTCTTTCTCGTCAACAGAGGAATGTTTTTGGGGATTGTAATAATTTTTTATATATTTTAATTTTTAAAGAAAGAGATAAGAAATGAAAAGAAGAAACTGAATCTCTTACTGTTTATTATGCATAGAGAAAGTATCTAAAAATCCAAAAGCTGCAAGTAAAACTGAAGACTGAAGAGAGAAATGGAACTCAAAATGATCCAAAACAGTGCTACCAAAATATATTGCCCATTACTTCACAGCCTGTAAGAAGTCTTCAAACTCTGTTGGAAGCCGACAATTCAAGATAATTCTAAGCACCCCATGTGGGATTTATTTTTCTCCCATCAAATCTAGTCTCACTTTGTTCTTCACTTAATATTTTTCTCTGCTGTTTCTTCTGATATAGACCCACTTTCTTCAGAAAAAAGAAAAAAAAGAAACTTGGCTGAAATTTTGTGGGATTTTGGTTCTCATCATCATGTGGAAATCAGAGAATGAATCTCTTAGTGGCAGAGATTATGGTAACGGAGTGCTTAGCTCCACTAAACATACTGTCAAAACTGATGGATTTGAGCTCAGAGGCCAATCTTGGTAAGTTTAAAAAAATATGAGATTATGAATTCTTTGTTTATGATAAGTTTAGTATTTGAGCTTTTGGTCTTGTTTTGCATATAGGTATGTTGCTACTGATATTCCAAGTGACTTTCTTGTTCAAATTGGAGATGTTAATTTTCACTTGCACAAGGTAGCTATATATTCTTGTTTTGATATGTGAAATTTTTTCTTATTTGAGTTTCTAGTTCCAATTGGAGATGTTAATTTTACCTTTTTTTTTTTTCTTGTATATTTGTGAAAGTATCCTCTGCTTTCAAGAAGTGGAAAGATGAATAGACTGATATATGAATCTCGTGACCCGGACATCAACAAGATTGCCTTGGATGATCTTCCGGGAGGACCGGAGCCGTTCGAGCTAGCGGCAAAATTCTGCTATGGGATTGCAGTTGATCTAACAGCAGCCAATATATCCGGCCTAAGATGTGCTGCAGAGTATCTTGAGATGACAGAGGACTTAGAAGAAGGCAATCTTATCTTTAAAACAGAAGCCTTTCTTAGTTATGTAGTTTTGTCGTCCTGGAGAGACTCGATAATCGTATTGAAAAGTTGCGAAAAGCTCTCGCCATGGGCAGAAAATCTTCAAATTGTGCGAAGATGTAGCGAGTCTATAGCTTGGAAGGCTTGTGCAAATCCTAAGGGGATAAGATGGGCGTATACTGGAAAACCCCCTAAAGTTTCCAGCCCAAAATGGAATGATGTGAAAGATTCAAGTCCGAGTAGGAACCAACCTGTTCCTCCTGATTGGTGGTTTGAAGACGTTTCGATTCTCAGAATTGATCACTTTGTTAGGGTTATTACAGCCATCAAAGTAAAGGGTATGAGATTTGAATTGATTGGAGCTGCAATAATGCGTTATGCGACGAAATGGCTTCCAGGTTTGATTAGGGAGAGTTCAGGACCTGGAGATGAAATAAGCAGCTGCAGTGCCAGTAATAGTAATAGTAGTAGTGGTAGCAGTTGGAAAGGTGGACTTCATATGATCGTGGCAGGGACTAAAGAGGATCCTCCAACTGTCCAGGCCAAAGATCAAAGGATGATCATCGAGAGCCTCGTCAGCATAATTCCGCCACAGAAAGACAGTGTGTCATGTAGCTTTCTACTTAGGCTCTTGAGAATGGCAAACATGTTAAAAGTAGCGCCTGCGTTGGTTAATGAATTGGAGAAACGGGTGGGGATGCAGTTCGAGCAGGCGACATTGGCTGATCTTCTTATTCCTACTTATAATAAAGGAGAAACTTTATATGATGTGGATCTTGTACAGAGGCTTTTGGAGCATTTTCTTGTTCAAGAACAGACTGAAAGTTCAAGTCCTAGTCGGCAATCTTTTTCGGATAAACACATGTATGATGGAACTCAAAGGGTTAATAGCACAAGTGCTAAGATGAGAGTGGCAAGGCTGGTTGATAGTTATCTCACAGAAGTGGCCAGAGATAGAAACCTCTCTTTGACAAAATTTCAGGTATTGGCTGAAGCTTTACCGGAATCTGCGAGGACCTGTGATGATGGACTTTATAGAGCAGTTGATTCCTATCTTAAGGTAATTCCTAATTGTTCCCCAGAAGTTTCTATTTTCCTTTCATACTTTGTTATTCAATGTCCATTTGTTAGAAGTAAAAATATTTCTGAATAAGGATATTAGTCTTTTTCGCGCAATTGAAAAGTAAATCTTTTCGTCTAGTTAAGCAGTTTGAATAGACATGTATGAATTGAAGAGATAATCAGAAAAACAGAAAACTGCCACTCTGAATGAGAGTGGCATTTAGTAGCTTGATTCATTTGCAAGTGTGTAGTGATTTCCATTAAAAAAGAAATAATTACTACAAATTGTGGAGTACGGAATCATTAAATACTTGTAGCAACCCTCATCATAACAAAGTTTTTATTCCTGATTTTCTGAGACTGAATTCTAATCAATTTCAACAAATTAACAGGCTCATCCAACACTATCTGAGCATGAAAGGAAGCGGCTTTGTCGAGTGATGGATTGCCAGAAACTCTCAATTGATGCATGTATGCATGCTGCACAAAATGAAAGACTCCCTCTAAGAGTTGTGGTACAAGTCCTCTTCTCTGAACAGGTAAAGATAAGCAATGCAATAGCAAACAACTCACTGAAAGAAGCCGGCGAAAGTCAATACCAGCCCATGATATCAAACAGAAAAACACTACTTGAGGGGACACCACAGTCATTCCAAGAAGGATGGGCAGCCGCGAAGAAGGATATTAATACACTCAAATTTGAGCTTGAGAGCGTGAAGGCGAAGTACCTTGAGCTCCAAAATGACATGGAGAATCTGCAGAGGCAGTTTGATAAGATATCAAAGCAGAAACAAACATCAGCATGGAGTAGTGGTTGGAAGAAATTGAGCAAACTCACCAAGATGACACCATTGGAAAACCAGGATATTGGACCTCATCTTCAAACTACTGCAGACCAGACTAGAAAGACACCTAGAAGATGGAGAAATTCAATCTCTTGATTGCCAAGGAATACCTCTACATTTCTATTCAGTGTTATATTGTTAATTTTGCTTTTGCTTTTATGATTCAATCTCTCTCTGTGCTTTTTCTTTTTTCCCCTTTAATTTCTATTTTTTCTTTCTGGGCAAGTGCAAGGTTCTTTATAGAAATTACTTTCAAAACAAGAAAAAGAGAAGTAGTACAATTTGTTAGCCAAATGTTTGTCTATTGTGAGTGAGTTTGCTGCTATTTTCATTTCATGTAATTTGGTTTTCAAAGAGGAAGCTACTGTGATATACCCTACATAATGCCATATGGTTTCTTCCTTATGTGATTGACTGATGTACCCAAAATCAAACAAATCAAATAGAAGAACTGTTCATTAATTGAAAAATGAAAAACTGACGAGACAGATGACATAAAGAAGATGAAATTAATTATGGAAGTTATCTTAACTATTATGCTGTGTGAATGACGGCGAACCACGTGGAGACATGTTGGAGTAAGGTAAGGAGTGTTGTTAGGTGAAAATTTTCTAAAATTTCACGCAAAATGCCACAAGTGTTGGGGCATGTTCCCTATCTGAGTAAACCAATGCCGTTGCTCAAGCTAAACTTTGTCTTAAAGCACATAAGCAAATGCTAGTGCCTTTACTATCGACTTTAATATGGAAAGATGCGTGTGGGGGTGCATTTATCGTAAAAGAATGTTTAGTTGCAAACTTCTGTCAACCACATAATTAACAAACTTCAATACATGCTATCTTTGCTTCAAAGAAATTGGGATTTCTATTATTAATTAGCCCTTAAATTAAATTAAATTAAGTTTTCATATTCAAATTCTTAAAGTTCCATCAACAAGATGAGAGTTTTGATTATTTGATTCTATGGGGTCACAACTAGAAGTTCATTATTAAAGTGTAAATTGAGACGGTATCGTAACAAAAATAGAAAGAAACAAAAATGATAAGATATCAAATCTCATCTCACATGAAAAAAGGCATTACTGATGTAATATGTCAGAAATCAAATTGTAAATAACTAAATATATCAGGGGCCCTTTATTCATGCCTGTCTGCTTACAATACAAGTGTGGACGATAATTTGACACCTCAACATGTATAATTCTCCATAGTTCCTCTATTTTGTGGTGGCCTTTTATTCCTCAATTATTCAGAACTTTTACCACCATAATAATTTTTATTAGTCGGAGAAGAGACTAAAATTGGAGAATTCAATTTAACGTATTGAAATGTTACGACAGAAAAACATCTATGCACAATGTGAAGTTTGATGCCAAAACCTGATATCGCGTATAATTACAATATGTCGACATGATATTACAATTGGTGTATGAATTTAATATCTTGACGTGAGCAGCGTCGGAATAATGGTATCCCTCTAACGTAGGTAAGGTATATCGAAATTTGTTTTTATGTTAACACCATGTGTGACGTCAGTGTATGGACAAATATATTCTGATGTCGATCGTTTGCACTTAAAAACATGCTGTAGAGCTAGAGGTCAACACCAATTGTCGGCATCGATAGAGGTATAATACACTGATGCTAGAGTGGTGTCGGCGTATAAAATTTAGTACATCGACGTAGACAACGTTAGGATAGAGTATCGTGAATTTTTTTTTATTTTTTATTATACATCTCTTTTTTTTTTTCTCTCTCTCTCTTTTTTTGGTTATATGGCCGCGTCGGGGCAGGGTCTGTTTCTGGAGGTATGCGTATCAATTTTGTTATGTTTTACCAAAATATGAATATCAAAATTTCTTAGGTAGAATAAACAAGGGCAAAGTATTCTCCATAGAAGCTGGTAAATTAGAAGTCTTCATTCAATGTGTTATTAGCTTCAGGCTCGCACTCCAAAAGGAAAAACACTATGACACTTCACACTAATTGCAATCTTTAACCTGGAGGTGGATCCAGGATTTTTGCCCATGGGGGGCCTCGACATCTTCACTATTGTTTGTCAAACAACTAGTGAAAACTTAAAAAAAATATCAAACTTAAAACAAATAAAATAATACTATATCAAGAATATGAGAGAAAAAATGTAATAACACAATAATCCCTACTTGAATAAATCTATGAGAAATTTTTTTTTTTTTTTTGAGTAAATGTGTTGAATAAACCTTGAGGAAAACCTTTTTTTAATTTTAATTTTTTATTTATTTTTGGCTTTCAAAGATTATAATATAGATTTTCATGACATTGATCAGACTAAACCTAAGTTAAAGTCAACCAAAACTTAAGTCAAGTCAATGTTACGCTGACTTTTAATATGAATTAATAAAAAAAAAAAAAAGAATTTCTTTGATATAAATATAGTTAGTAACTCAAATTTCATTAATAATTTTGAGTAGCTGAACGGTGACGTTTGAAATGTAAGAAAGTGGTGGGTGAAGAGTGAAGAATAACATCCTTTAAAATATATTTAAAGTTTTAATTTGGTAAAGCAGATACATTCTTAGATACAAAACACAAAATAAACTAAAAAGTCTATGTCTTTTTCTCTCAAATTAAAATAAAAAACCTTAAAAAAAAAAAAAAACATGATTCAATCTTAAAATAAACTAAATTGAAAGCAATATACATACCTAAACTGATAAAAGAGAAAACGAAGCTAATTATGACACATTGAATAGTGAAAGCTTCAACAATTTTAATTTTCAAAAGTTTTAAAAGCGAATAGCATGAGAAAAAGAATGAGAAAGTAAAGAATTTTGGGGATAAACTCATAAAAAGCAGGTGTAGCTGTGGAGAAAAAGAGTAGAGAGAGTTTTAAACTTTTAATATAATGTTGGCTTGAAATAGATATATTAATAACAAGTTTTTTGTAGGCCTAGATATATGTATAATATTTCTTATTTTTAAAAATTCCGAGGTTGAGTCTAGATATATATATTAATAACAATTTTTTGTGGGATAATATATTAGTAATTTTATTTTAAAATCTGAGGGTAGACATGGGCCTTCTCTGAAAGGGGCTGGATCCGCCCCTGACCAGGTATCATGATCCTGCTTCGTAACAACAGCTAAACATTATATTAATTTTCAGGACCACATATTAAATAATTATCGTTTTCTAATATTCATGCTCAAAACTCACAGCTGTTTTGAAGCTTCACTATTGATCTACTTACTAAGCAATTAAATTCAAAGACTCTAGTCAATCTATAGAATAAAATATAAGTACAATTGAGTATTGAGATTAAACTTTATTAAATCTTAATTTTATTTTATTTTTATCAATATATCTCACATTTTAAATTACTTTAAATATATGTTCTTTTGAAGCTTTCTATATCTCACTTGTTTTTACGCGTTTTTTCGTTTATATCAAAAGAAAAAAATATATTAAAGAATATCTTGGATCAAGTCGAATGTTACATGTCATTCTTTTAAATACAATTGTTTTATACTTTGTCAAAAAGTTCATTCACATAACACAATGAGATCCATCAATATTAAATTCCCTAATAATTATCCAAAAAAACTCTTGTAAAAATATGCTTAAAAAAAGAAACCCCGATAGAGGGTAATTAATATTTTTTAACAACCTTGATGCATTTCATATTTACCAATCTCATAAGGCTATTAAAATAAATACGTGTTACGGCCAAAAAATGTCCTCCGCCGAAATAGGATAATGCGTCCGACAATGAGGAAAAGCCTAGGCCCAATCCCGGTGTGGCCCAAGCCAGAACTCCTTGGATAAGGCCCATTCAGTACGAAGTACAATCGATCCAAACCATCTAGACCCAAGCCTCCTGACCCTAGTACACCTCCTAGGCTCATGGTCAAGTTAAGAATTCACGGTCACTTACGGATCACATTCCTACTCAAACACTGATCAGGTGGTCCACTACAATCCCAATTCCCCCAAGGTCCGTGTTAGAGTCGTACTTGGACTCCCTTTCACGCCAAGATAATGGGGCCAAAGGATATATCCCTGGAGGAAATGGATTACTATGAGAACTCCCAATCCCACCAAGATTGAGAGACTAGATAGTCACTATTTAAACAGAGGCCAGCCCTCTCACAAGGGACAGGACATTACATCTTCAGACCCAGGAGTTCCCGCTTGAGAACTTCACATTACAATCGTAGTCACAGTCCCCGACTAGACTTCTGGTAACCTCTCTACTCCTTAGCCCTCAATAAATCAACCTTTTTCAGCCTTGTTGACTTGAGCATCAGAGTGCCTACAGCAAACACCACCTCGGTGTTTTCCGTCGCTTCACATTTGTTTCTCTACGTGTGCAGGTACAGCAGATCGCTAATGGCCTCAACCTCACGGGATCAGTCCCTCCTTCCGTACAGGTAGATTTTTATGTCTACAGTTTGGCGCCCACCATGGGAACTCTAGCAATCATTCGGCTCAACGAACCCTGCTACGTGAAGAAACTTTCCATGGTTGACAATTCTGACAACGTTAACCTCGGCCTCGAGGCCAAACTTGAAGCTCTGACCGCTCTCATGCAACAGAACTCAGATAAGGTGGCTGCACTAGAAGCTAAGAACACTGCCATCCGGACGAAAACGCCTCCATCAGGGCTGAAAACCAATCTCTGAAATAAAAGGTAAGTTAGTTTTATGATCTTGAGCTTTTGCCTTGTCAGGTACCACCTAATCGTTTCTACGCCTCGGTTCCATCTATGTAGCCTCTCCACACCCCAGAACATAGACCCGTGGCTTCAGATAAAAGGTCGCGTCAATTATGTTCGTCCGTGGTTGACGATTCGGTCCTGGCTCTTGGAGAAAGGGATCTGCCAACGGAACCCCACTCGATCGATCCGTCTCAAGCACAAGATCAAGGCGTCCGAGTGACAAAAAGCCCGCTACAACAAGAACCATGCATCCTCGCCATCCCACCTCACCTCCAGTCAACCATCCCTACACAAACTCCATTCGGCTCGGTTCACCCTCGCGGGTCGAGTGGTCACCCACACCAAAACATCCCGCTCGAGTCCATCCATCCCAACGGACCGAGCGAGTACCAAACCACCCCCATAACCATTCATGTCGGGCAAAACACCCAATCAGTTAAAATGGGAGTCACCCAACCTGAGGGAATGAACGGTGATCCAAGCTACCAAGCGATGCACGAAGGAATGATCCACCAGGCTACACCACACGGAATGACCCAACAAAACATGCCGAGTGCAAACCCTATGGTCGACCAAGTCAAGCGGGATGACCTACTGGTATCCCCCTCTCCCATGGAATAGATATTGGCCAACAGACTGGCTGACATAGAGGCAGTGATGAGGCGCATACTAGGAATGCCGATCCCCACCAAAAAGAGCA